CTGAAGAAGAGATGATGAGCTGGTAATACACTTTAGGCTGTCTTGTGAATTTTTTAATATCCTGACATACTTACACTGTATATGTATAAAATACTTATGAAAAAACATCCTAGTAGATGATACTGTAGCAGTAGTGTTTGTAACGCTGCTCCAACTTAAAAGCCACAAACACTCAAAATGACATCAAAGTACGATTTTATGCTCGAGGATATTACAATGCTTGTAGAAGTCTACTTTCCCGCGGTTGCCATTGGATTTCTTAAAACCAAAATCACAGAATCTCCCCTGAGGAACATCTTGGCGATGTATCTGTCCTTATTAACTGGCTTAGCCTTTTTCCCTTTTCCAGACTTTGGTGTTTCAGTCCACATTTCTTTGACGTTCTCGAGAACCATGTTACAATGCCGGTCGAACGCTTTCACCCTAGCAAGTAGCTTTTTGTTGTTTCGACAGTTGATCAGAACTTGAGTGTTATTCTTCACTGATTGCGTTAAAACTGATAGAGGACCCGTGTTGAATTCTTCTTGCTCTCTTTGAGCCAGCTCCTCTGGAGTCATTTCGCTCTTCGGCTTGGCCATTCTACGGAGAAAAAGAGAAGAGTAAAGAAGGGCAGTGACTGACAAACCGTCTTGATGACAACTACAACTTTGCCTCAAAGATCTGCAGCATCGACAAGTCGCATTATAGAGAAAAAAACACTATGCAAACTTAATGATAACAAGTAAGAAAAATATAAGTTGTTTCTTACAAGGATGTCATTTTTCCACCGAGATATTTTACGATTGCGGCCTCGTCGCTTACAAAAACTTTGAACAACGTTTCGAAGCGTCGATGCGAACTACAATCGCTGGCGCGTATTTTTTACAACGCATGCGTTATAAGACTTTTGCTTGGTAGCCACCCCTTTATTCACCGTCCTCTCTGCGTTAGACTTGCGTCGACAGATAAGGGAGACAGTTCCTCGGAAGGCAGGCTTTTAAGATATTTCCAAGAGCTCTTTTCTCCTTAGAAGAAGTTCTTTGGTAGTGAAATTATTACAAAATGTCTCTTGCGGACGAACTTTTGGCAGATTTAGAAGAGGCCGCCGAGGAAGGTGACGTCGAGTTTAGAGACAATGAGGATGGAATCGAAGAGGCGATGGAAACAACAAGCGGTGTAGACACGGATTCAAAGTCCGTCAAAAGTGTTGCTAAACTAAAAGACAGTAAACAGTTAAATGACGTTCTCGCTGGGATCGAACAATTCGGGAACCAAACCCGCGATCGCGTGTTCGGTCCCGTGGAAGTCGACCCCGAGTATCAGTTGATTGTGGAAGCTAACAATCTAACGGCTGAAATCGACAACGAAATCAACATCATTCACAAATATCTGCGAGATCTTTACATGAAACGTTTCCCAGAGTTGGAATCGCTGGTTCCTAATCCGTTGGACTATATCCGCACTGTAGAACTATTAGGCAACGATCTAGAAGCATCTAAGGTTGACTTGACAGATGTTCTTCCTCCAGCCACGAAGATGGTCGTCAGCGTCACAGCTTCGACCACTCAGGGTGAAAAGCTCGAGGAAGATGAAGTAGAACGTCTCATGGAAGCTTGTAAGACTGTTAGTGATTTGCTGGATGCCAAGTTCAAGATATTTCAGTATGTTGAATCTAGAATGACTTTCATTGCACCTAATCTGTCTATCATTGTCGGGGCATCAACTGCTGCCAAGCTCATGGGATCAGCTGGTGGACTAACAAGCTTGTCTAAAATGCCGGCTTGTAATGTTCTTTTGTTGGGATCCCAGAAGAAAACTTTGTCAGGATTTTCCAGTGCAGCAATCATGCC